ATATATATAGTATATTCAATTACAACTTTATGTAAAATATTGATATGAAGTTGTTTTCGAATCAAGAGAAACACAGGTGATTTTCTTTAAAGTTTTCCCAAGTGTTGTATTCAATTGTTCTTATTGTGCAAGGTCGACAATAATGGTTTTCTTTTATTGAGAAAAAATATCAACAAAATTTTTCTATTATACCTGAACGACACAAAGGGTCCAATCCTATATGAATATGAACAATCTTCATTAAGATAGATGATTAAGAAAGAAAGACAAAATTAGCACCATGCAATACGAAAACATACTCTGTGTTGGGGAACAGCATAAGTATCGTCATAATAAAGTTACCACTATCAGTTGTTACTACTTGAAGGATATTTCTTGAAGACAAACACTAAACGTATATGCTAGTCATCATAAACGAATTTTCAGACTAGTCAGTGAAATCTTCAAGTCTCTTCTGCGCATCAAAACATTTATTAGTCATTCAATGATGATTTCATCACGCTTGTCCAACGAGACTTGAAGGTTTGAAAGAAAGCTAATGAGTTCGTCTGATAGAATACTGATTAGTAAAATCGAAAATATCTGAATTACTGAGATTTGAAAATGAATTACAAGATTTTTTCGTGACGGAACCACGCTCACAAATGCGGATAACCGCTGCGAAGAACCACATCTACCTCGACTGATATGAACAACGAAGTCATACAAGTTAGTTAAATTTAATATGAGTAACTTGAGGAAAGGTATATTTGCTGACATGAAAAGTCCAACGATAAAAATGATGATATATATTAGTCTTCATTGATTTGGTGCAGCATCTCTTCGACAGCAATTTTTCTTTGAGATACTATTACTTGTTTAAAAAAAAGATCAACGTTCGGTATTGCTAAAATACGCTATGGTCCACCCTGAGCGCCGCTTTACTTGACAAATATATCAGTCAGTAGAGCTTAAAATTTTGAATCTACTGGACGACTCTAAAAAGTTTCTGCTTTTTATCTTTTTTGATTTTTTTCTCTAGAATGGCTCAAAATCTTAAGCTCTATCGACTGATATACATCCTGAGTAAAAAAAACACTTGAAATGTATTTCAATAATACTCATCAATGTTTAGTCATGTACCTGAATAAAATCACATGCAATACAAAGAATGCCACAGACATTTTCCGAATCTTATATACATCTGTTTCGTATGGTGATAGACAAGAGCTTAACATTACTTTGATAATTTTTTTTCTTGTTTTTGAAGTGAATAAGAACAATGTAGTGTCATGAATCAATTACATAAATTCTTCCTTTTTTTATTTCTAGTCGACATATAGTAGACATTAGATTTTAACAAAAAAATAATAAAAGATAATATATAGAAGAAAATTATTATATAAAAAAAAGAAATTTACGTTGTTATATCACCTATCGATGAACCAGATGATGATATATCAATCGCTTTTGATAAATAAGTTCGAAGTGATTCAGCAAGTGTAAGTTGAACATTAGCAAGAGAACTATTAATAAGATATTGAGGAAGCCAACCCTTTAGAAAATAAAGACTTGTTTCAATCGATTACATAAATAAAAAAAACATAATTTACTTTTAAATCTACATTAAGTATCATTGTAAATTTACAACTTGTATCATTATGTTTTTCAAGAATATATGCAGTTGGTCCATTTTCACCTCTTTTTATTTTTAAAATATAAATCTAATCTAATAACAATATTATCTAACTTACCGAACACAACTAAAAAACCATTCAAAACAACAAATATAAAAGGATAATAATGATTTTTTTTTGTCTTACTTGTCTTTTGGAGGCATTTGTGGATAAACACATGCTTGAGCTGCTATAATAGCAACATCATCAATAAATCGACGTGTGCTTATATTAACAAAATCTCGTTTAGCAATAATTCCCTGTGCTTGTTCATTAGTCATTTGATACCTAATAAAGAAAATTTTCAAAATTCAGATATATTAAATCTGGATATTACGGACGTTATATATAAATCGTGTTTAATAACTTGAAGTACCTATGAAAGAAAAACATATTAGAATAAAGAAAGTAAATTGTTTAAAAAAATTCTTTTAACTAAATGAATGTTTTTCTTTTCTTATGGCATCTTCTAGTGCACTAGAGATTTTACTTTGAACTTATTTGATCGAGAATTTCCTGCTTTACAAAACTTCTGTCTTTGCTGTTCAAATAACTTTTCTATTGTCGACGCAAAATTTTTAAAAAATTGAATGCATATTCAATCGTGCAACTGCAATTTCTGATTTTGTACAAACATCTATCAATTTTCGTCAAGATCAATGGTATAAGTAAAATATTTCGTATCAATGAATAGAGAATTTCATCATTTCTACTTCCACGATCTTTTGAAGATTTCTCCTGCTGTTATTCAACAGAAAAAGGTGTTAAACTAACATCTAATGTTATTTTGAGATGCATTCTGAAAAATCATGTCTTCCAAAACGAGAATTGGTCTATAACTAGAAATGCACAGAATCAAGTTTTTTTGAATCCCAAATTCGGCCTAGAGAAAACTATTTCAGATTTCATTTGTATCACACCTAAAATAATTCTTCAATATTCGTTTTGTTAGTCGGTGATGAACATTTTTTCAGATTATCTCCCTTGAATTATCGACTAATTCATATTGTTAAAGTATAATATGTTTTATTCTTGAGTTCCAATAGCAGCAAATTTTTTCTTGTGACCTGATCTAGATAAAGTTTTATTCTTTAGTACCTCACATACCAATCTATGGTACGCTTGTTTATATGTCACCGAGTGTAGATTTTCCTAGTGAACAATGGTATGATGATCAACTTGAAGGACAGACGCATCAGGTTATGTTTAGTTGAGAAAAAAAACAATGATATTATTCCGCCAGAAACTTCTTTTTTTTTCAGTTCAAAAGTTTTTGTCACATATATTTCTTCTCAAGTCTTGGAACATATATCAAAAGATATAGAATGTTGCAAAGAACTTCATAGCATATTTGAAATGGCAGTAAAACTTTGGGGAAAGTAGATTTCCATCTTTTTAAAAATTGTTGTGCCAACAAAGAAAAATCCAGTTGAAAAACGAAGTCACTAATGTATTGAAAAGTATGCAAAACGCAAGAAAATTATTTTGTTCTATTTATTAAGCGCCATCCATTAATAATTATATACATACTCTACTATCGTTGACAGTTGGACTCCATTTCGACATATCTTCTTGTTGTTCAAATAATAGTTGTACAGCATCATCACGACATCCTGGAATAATACACTAAAATAAAAGAAAATATTTATCTATTTATTCTTTATGTTTCTCTTACACTTAATCGGAAAACTTTGCCCAATTTCGGATAATTTTTAGAAAGAACAATATCAAGTCCATTGCTACTTATAGCTTCTTGTAACCAAGAATCATTATCTTTAAATATACGCCAGACTTTTTCAACAACGTCATCTGCTAGTTTTTCATAATCTTCATCATTATCATCATCTTCAATAACGGACGCTGGTGTACATAATAATGATGGTGAAACATTAGAATCCGAACGAAAGGTGCGTACAACACCGGTATCAGTTTCTTCTGTATCGCTACCTAAAATATATAAAAATAATCTATTATTATCTTTTCTTCTCAAGCAAAATTAGTAGTTTTTCTTTAAATTGTTTTTAGTTTTAGTCTTGCCATGTAAAGATTTTTCAAATGACCAAATTATAGTTGATGTTGATTGCATTTAATTATCTTTTGTTTTTGCTATTCGTGATCGAAGAAAAAACTTATTGTATTAAAAGTCACACATCTGTTTTAATGGTAATTATTGTCAGCTATCATAGCCTCGTTCTTTCTTTTTCTCTTTCTTGTCGAATAAAGTTAATCATTGATAGTAGAAGAATATGCGTCTATCTTTGACATACCCTCGACGGACGGCACAGGAGAATAAAATGATTGACGATGTTCGTTTAAAAGTGTAATGGAATGATAATTTGAGGATGGAGGAATCGGAGATGCTGATCTACTTGAATTCGATGCAAGCAATGGACGCCGCTCGCTATGATTTACTATAAAAACAAAAATAGATTATCGTTCAATTGATTAATTTTTATCGTTCTATCGTCGTTTTTTTTCATACATGCTTCTCGTAAACGACGTTCATGAGGAATAACACGATAGCTAAAAGAATAGAAAAATAATCTATCGATTACAACAAATAAAACATACTCAAAAAACCAGATTTCAACCCATGCCAAAATAAATGATACAATCAATATACCATAATCAGTAAAACCTTTATCTGTTTTGGAAATCTATTTCAAAGACAAAAAAAAAAAATATATATATATATACAAATATCGATTTTTTTATTGACTTACTGTAAATACACATGTTTTAGCAATGATAAAACCGGTTGAACCAAGTGTTGTGAACTAAAAAGTGATGAATACGAAGGAATAATTTTCTCAATTTTATATTTATTGCTCTCGCTCAATTACTTACAACAGAAGGCTTCTAACTGTGACTCCTCAGTTGAACTAACATTATGCTCATAAAGGGGCTCTGACAAGATTAGTGGAAGCCTATAGCGATTCACCTCTATGCACTGTCGTTCCTAAGGTATTACAGTTTTACTAAGTTTTTTTTTAATCTCTGACAGAGTATCAATGAAAAAGTCGAATTGAGAAAGTTCAGTCTGTAATCTTGCCCATAAATAAGTCTTGTAGATAATAGAATGTTCTAAAAATGTCAGCCTAAATGATATGTTGTTCTTGAGATATCAAATGCTAAAAATCCTTGATTTTCTTACTTTTCCTTGTAACACATGATTGTACTTAGACGTGCAGTATCTCAAGAAGGACACATCTTTTCAGGCTGAAATTTTCAAGGCATTCTAAAATTCACAAGGCTAACTTATGAACAAAGTTTCAATAAAATTGTAGTCAATTCGAAACAACAACTTATGAGAACGAGTCTTTATAGACTTCTACTAGACCTGTAGAGGCCTCTTTTTGGGTACAATATCAGTTTGTTGCTTGGCGAGTCACACACGAGTACTTTTCCTCGTTAGACAAACAAAAACCTTTTTTTGTTTTTCTTACAAAAATCCTACAACCAAAACAACTATATGACATTGTGTATTTTACAACAAACTCGCTTTTTCCATATGAGAAATAAACCCTTTCTAATTTCTTTAATACGCTTACTTACTTACAGCTACGAAACTCCAATGTGACCATTTTAGTATTGCGTACGATATCATTAATAAAATAAAACGAAAAGCTGATAAACCCTACAGAAAATAATAATTGATCTATCGACAGAAATAATTGTTTTATATTTTTTCGTAACTTACAACAATATCAAATAGAGATGTTTTAATAGAATAATGAATAACCTCGTTAACAAAAGCTTGATCAATCGTTATATTTTTAATCTAAATATTCAAAATTAATATTAATCATGTGAAACATATTCTAACAAACTTGATTATAAATAATCCATAGAAGTACCATAAATATTACATCGAATGTGACGATTAATAAAAATGTACGACGTACTTGAAACATTCGTTTTTTTGTAAGTGTTGATTGTTGATTTGATGAGGCATTTACTGAAACACTTGTTGATGCATTCGATGTTTGACTGTACAATAAAATTTAAAAAAAACAAAGAAAACAATAAAATAAAATATTCACATACGCTTGATAAAGATTTAATAATTGTCCATTTACTTGATTTAATGTGTGAGATCTACAATTTAAAAAAAGAAAAGAATTTATTTATTTATAGGTTCAAATCAAAACAAATTCAATTTTTTTTGTAGTAGCAGCAATCAAGTTTTTTAAATAACATACACTGATGTATCCGAATTAATACTTGTATGCCCGTTCATCATTATAATGTTTGTCTATAGGAAAACAAAAACATGCAACATGCGATTATCATATCACCTATATGACGTCATTGTTACTTTCATCAACGAAAAAAAAAACAAAAGCAAACATCAAAGATAAATATTTATTTTATAAACTTCTATATAAAAGATCCTTGTTCTTGCGCAAAATTACTCATTAAGTGATAAATTAAAAAATTTTGTTTCGTATACAAAATATGTCTATTATGATTTCTTTGTTGAAATTCATTATTATTTGTTAACGTTGATGATAACGATGTTGATGATGATGTTAATGGTCGATCAATTGTATTTGATTGTTTATTTGATGATGATGAAAATGAAAAAATTGAATTTTTAAAATTTTTATTATTGATTGAATTTGTTGAATGTAATAATCTTGTATGATCAACATTTTTATTATCTTTAACATTTATTTCAAGTGTTGATTGTGCTTCTGTTTCAAAAGTAAATGTCATTTGTTGATATGAAAATGAATATTCTTGTAATTTTGTTACACGATTTATCAAATGTACACCAACATCATTAACACATATAAATACACTTGTACGACGACCACGATATTCATGTTCACCTAGAAAATAAAATTTTGAGATTTGAAAAAGGAAAGAAAAAAAAAAGATTTAATTTAATTTGTATCACCTGTAAAAAATGATGAACCATAACTAGTTAAATTTTGAGCTAAATTAAGAAATTGCATTTTTAAATAAAGTTGTAATTGTGGACGATTTTGCATTGTTTGATCATCAATAAAAACTTCTTTATAACGTTTAAGAATTGTTCGTCGCCAATAAGCAGCACCAGCACGCTTTAATTTTTCAGCTGGTATTAATAAAGATAAATTATTAGAATCATTATGAAAAAAATGTTCCCACAGTTTATCATCTAATTGTTTTTCATTAATTCCCATCATTAAAACAGCAAATTCAATAGCATCTTCATCTGTACATGGATAATAAGCAAGTAAATAATTTTGATAGGCTTCAAGAAACAATAAATGTATAACATGTGGTATACGAAGACGTTGTTCAAATTCAATTTTAAGTAATGTATCACGTGACCACCATAATTGTGCATCTTCAGAATTCGAATTTAATGTTGGAGATGATGATAATGATGGATTTCGAAGTGATGATTCATTTGGTACAGTTGTTAATTCACTTGCATAACGTTTCCAATTTAATAAAAATTGTACAGGTTTATGATCAGGATTTAGTTGAATACGAACACTTTTAGAACAGATCCATATACCAAATACATGTGAAACTACATCTGGTAAACGTAAACGTGTCATCATTTGTGCATGTAATTGACGAACAGTAGTTTCAGCTGGACCTGAAACAAGATCAAGTTCAATAGTACTACCATCAGCAAGACAAATTTTGATTTTTTCAAGCTAAAATTATGCAAAATAAAAATAAGAATTTTGAAGAGAAAATATTTTTTTAATTTAATTACAGGTTTTTGAAGAAATTTTTCAATTAATTCTGTACATAATTGCCAATCACGATTTGGATTTTGTTTACAAAAATCAAGTGCTGTTTTTCCATCTTTATTTTTTGCATGCTAATCAGAAAACAAATACTTGAGATGTGTAGATTTTGTTTTTTCATTCATACCACATTAATATCAGGACAATCAAGTAGTATTCGAACAACTTCAGCTCGACCACCTAAAGCTGCTAAATGTAATGGACTCATATGTGAATTATCAACTGCATTAACGGAGAATCGTTTTGAACGAAGTAATAATTCAACAATTCGATGATGACCATGCCTATAATAAATTCCGTTACATATTCAATTGAAAAAAAAATCAATTCTATCTACCAAGCAGCATGATGAAGTGGTGACCATCGATTCAGATCATGTTCAAGTGTAACAGGAGAAAATTCTTGTAATAATTTTCCTACAACTTCAATTTGACCATTTTGACATGCCAAATGTAAAGGATATTCTTCAAGACTATTATTACGATTTCTAGATAAATCATAAATATAAAAATTTTTATTCAATGAAACTATTGAAAACAAATACCTTTTAGAATTTCGTGAACTATTTATTGATCCTAATTCTCGATTATTTTGTCGACCACTATTTGATGAACTACGTTTCTGAGTACCTTTAGACGATTGCAGTGAAACAGAATCAAGCTAGAATAGTTTATAAATTCTATTTTTTTTTCAATTTTTTTCTTTTTTTTTGTTTATTTATATAGATATATACATGAGTAATACAAAGTCCATCATTTGATGTAAATAAATCATCGAAGAGAAGATTAGATACAATTATATCACAACGTTCATTTTCATCAATTTCATCAAATAATTTATTCTTTGTATCAACTATTGATGATAATGTCTAGCTAAAGAAAAAAATCATGTTTTAAAACTGTTTTATTCAAATAAATAAAAAATAGTACCTCTGATTTATGCATTTATATTAATAATTGTTTTTATAAAAAGAAAGTATCAATCTTAAACAAAATAATACTATTTAAATGAACATGCCTTGCAAAGACGACCAACTAAAACTAGATTATTAAGCCATAAATGCGTACTTGTTCTTAATTTAAACAAAAAAACAAAGCTTGTGAAGTACCTGATAATAAATAAAATGTGATTGTATATGTCTTTCAAACCTCTTAAGTGTCATCAGCTGAATAACTAACATAAAAAGAAAAAGAAAGTTGAACTATCACTCAAGAAAGATGAAAGAAAGAGGCATATTGTTTTTCTTGTTTTTGTTTTGAAATGAAAGAGCTTTCGTCGATTGTATGAACACAACGAGAAGAAACAAATTGCAAAAAATAAAATTTATGTTCATTCTCTTTTCTTGTCACTTATATTATAACCACCATCAACAGTTGTGTCTTCAGGTGGATAAACACGTGGTTTTTCTCCTGGTCTTAGAAGACGTCCAACAACATCATATTTTTCTTAAAAAAAGACAAAATAAACAAGAAAAAAGATTATTATTAATTTTTCATTGATTAATCAATAAAATATTACCTCGAAAATCTTCATGCCAACTTCTAGCTGTAGCTCGTTCCTTATCAGTAATATCAGAAAGATCATCATATTCATTTGAAAATAATGATGGATCCAATTGCATTTTAGATAATGCTCGTGTAGCATCACGCCCAGCAAATAATGAATATGATCCACCTATATTCATAAGAAAATTTCGATAGAAAAAGAAAAAGCTTAATTATAAAACAAAACGAAAATGTCATGCTCTTTTCTATGAATTAAGATAAAAGATAGTCATAATAAAGTTTACATTTTATCGTATCTATTTTCAATATCTTGTTAATTAATATTCTTGTCGATATATTTTTAACCAGGAAATGTTTTCACTTGATCAATTGTTTTTGAACTCAAACTCTGTGCACAACGAAGACTGCAATGAAATATGAAAAAATGCAAGACAATAAGTTCGCTTAGAACTTCTATCCAAAGTTTATACATATTTTGCTAGAATTTTAGCTTGTTGATCTGAAAATTTCCGGACATTCAATTGACAAATAGAGATGTCTGTGAATAAAACCTTAGATCGAAATATTGTTTTTCCATTTGTTCATATGTACCATGTCAGATACTGAAACTCTAGTAAAATGTCTATAATTCTAGACAGAAGGTTTCATGAGACTTATCCTTCAAACGTATTTCATCACTCACTAGAATCTAATAGATGAAAAGGAGTTCGAATTCAAAAGCGATTGATTAACTGCATTCGATGGTATCATTTTATGCTAAGAGATTACAGCCGCCACAAATAGTCCTGCTGCCCGGTAAAATGTACATAAACTTCAAACATTTCGCCTGATATTTTGACTATAAATAGAGTTCAATAAATCCTGATCACAAACAGCAAATCGAGGTTGACAGAATTTAATGCAAAGAATGAATGATGAAAACTATAATGTAGGGTTTAACAAATAAAGAGTTGCATGTCTATATTGTACGACAGATAGGATACTTCAATCTGCTTTAATCCATTTTCTAGATATTGGTCACTTTTCGGCGATTCCGTTTAATTCTCATGTGGAGAGTGCCCAAAGAATATTTCATAAATCACGCAAAATAAAGCCGTTTGAAATGAAATTTTTATCTCTTCACATGAAGGCCAATGAATTAGTTCTTGCAATCACAGTTCAACATGCTCTTTTATGATCAAACTATGAGATTAACGTTTCGATACTTTTCTTGCTGATATCGAAACTATTTACTACGACTGTACTTCCTGTTACTTATCCTTGCCATCAAGGTTTTTCATTAGAGAAAAATCAAAATCTCAAGTAAATATTCTTTAAAAATAATTCTTATTTACCTATTCCATATAGATCACTTTTTTGACTAACATCAAATATATCTCCACAAACAGCTGTAAGAATTCTTCCATTTGATTCAATACCATTATAACCACGTAAATCTGATACTGTTAAGTCACATTTAGGCATTTTTGGTAATTGTACTGGTGGTTGTTTTCGACTAGCATTATTTGATGATTTACGTTTTAATAAAAATAATTTAACAAGTAAACATATAATTAAAATAGAAAGAGCAAGATTTATTGGACTCGACCATATATCATATAACAGACGTTGAAGTAAAGCAATAAATTTTCTAATTAATGACGAATCATTTTTTAATGCATCTTTTGATTCCGAATCCATTGTTTATCTAAGATCTAAATCTATATATACATCAAAATAAAAAAGAAGTTTTAGAATAAAAAAAAGGGAACAAATGCCATTGACTAAAGACATTTAAAAAAACAACACGAGGAAATAATTCTAATGTAGGTGACACTAACCAATCAGATGTTTGACGTAACGGATTGGTTAATACACATTCCATTAATTTGTTGGATGGAGAATCTAATTGAAAAGTTGCTTGAAATAAAAAAAAAAGTTTTATATTCATTCTAGATAAAATGACATTAATAACATCTTGTTTAATACATGCTCGTTTAGCATGTCGATCATTCTATCGATTTTATACAAATTCAGCTCCTCGTACTATTGATGTACATTCAATACCTCAAGAACCAATTGAACCAATACCTGAGCAACCATTTCGAACATCGATTGATGATCCTGTATGAATATAAAAGAAAAACAAAAGAAATTAATTTTTTTGAAATTTGAATTTGTTTTTTTTTTATTTTTAAGCTTTTACATACAGAAAAAGATTTGGGTTTATTTTATACAGTAAATCCTGATGATTTAAAAAAAATTAGTCCATTTGGTAAATCACTTCCGTTACAACTTCGAGAAGAAGTAAAATAAATCTTTTGTTTCATCTTACATTTCGATTGAAACACAGAATTATTGTTTTGTAGTGTGAAGCATTTAATGAAACAGCTATCATGATTCGACAGCCATCACTTGATATTATTAAATTAATGAAACAAATCAATTGGAGTTTACCTCCGTTAAAAGTTGTACTTTGTAAGCATTTCATTTTTGAATAATATTTACTATTTTTTTTCCTTAAGTTCCTGCTGAACTTGGTGTTGGAATGAGTTTATGTCTATTTCACGTTTTACATTATGGTTTTCGTAAGAAAATGTTACTAGTTAATACGCCAACAGGTAGCTGAATTTACTTTTTTATTTTTAACAAAACAAGATTTGTTGTTTTGATTGTGTTTATAGCGGCTGAAGTTCTTAAATTAGCATTAGATGCAACACCATCACCAAATAATGAACAAATGTGGGATACACCTTCAGCAGCTAGTACATGGCTTAAAACATTTGCAATTAATAATGAAGAAATACTTAAAGAAACAGATGTAAGATGCAGATAATTTAAAATTTGAGCAAATTTTTTTTTGTCATGATTCGATAGAGATCGTCGAGTTACCTTTTTTTGACATATTCACACAATGTTTTTATATTGAAATTAACATATAAAAAAAATAGTCGAGTCTATAGAAATTGAAATATATCAAACGCGTAAGGTCTTAATATTTATCCTATGTTTGAAACTAATTTTTCTCGAATTTCGATGCGTATCCTAGCAAGGAAAGTTCTCCAACTAATAAACTGCCTTTGAGTCGAAACTATGTCCATTGTGTAGACCCAAATAAGTTATGACTACTCTAAAAAGAGTTCGTATTCTTAGCTGATTGCTACGGAAAAACATTACTTTTATGATATTTTTTCTAATACATACCGCACAGTTCTTTCCCGGAACATCAGAAAAAACTTATTTTCAAATTTTGACTTGAAACTTTGCATACAGACAGGTTTCAACGGGAATAGTTTAGTGTGAATGCTTCAGATCTTGTCGCTGTTCCTATCCTGACATACCGCTATAGTAGTAGTGTGTTTTCTACATCGTTTATATAAACGGACAGATTTTATGTTCTTATTTGAGGATAGAAGCAAATCAAAAGGCTTGAAACTTTCACAGTAAACTACCCTTATGAAGAACTGTCTCTATGCAAAGTTTCAAGCTGAAATTCGAAAAACAGTTTTTCCAGAACCACAGCATTCATTTAAAAAAAATCATAAAAGTGCCGTAGCGTCGCAGCTAAAAGCTAAGTGCACAAATTCTTTTCTTTTCAGGGTATTTACAGCTTATTTGAACCTACATCATGCATATAGTCTCGACTTGAAATAGATTTGTCAGTTGGTGAACTTTCCTCGTTAGGGAAGCATATCTCCGATTATTCGCAAGTAACAATGAAGAAGAGTAAGGACCGAATTTTGAAGAAAATTAGTTTCAAGAACCCAGTATACTATTCGATGCAGATTTAAGCACTGATTCTGAATATGAAACCGTTTCTTACTTTCATACAAAAAAAACGATTTATCAACAGTCAAATAATATTTTTCAAAAACCATACATAAATTTGTATTGAATATATCCAGAGTAGAATCAGAAGAAAAATCGGATAAACATTGAGACTTGATGATTTTGACATATTTCAGTATCTATAGGCTATTCTGTTTTTTTTGAAAATCTAAGTTTTACTACAATAACATCGTCGGAATATGTCATAAAAGGTAATTTGACAAGCTCTATGCAGTCATGAGAAATAAGTTTTTGTTTCAACTTTGAATTTCTTGCACCTTAAATATTTATATTTAATTGTATTTAGTTTCGTACAAAGTTTACATACACATGGAGTGCTCGAGAATCAACACCGGCTGGAACACATCTTCTTGATCTTATTGGTTATGTAAGTTAATTATTAAAATAATTTCTAAAGGAAAAAATTAATTTTTTAGGCAACTGACCGAATAAAATATGCATCAGAATGTGTCGGTGCTATTGTTAAAGAAGTTAAAGCTCAAGTGAGAGAAAAAAAGTAAATTAATATTTAAAAGTAAATTAAAAAAAAAAAGAATATTTTCATTATCTTGTTTATAATTAGTATTCAAACATTAGTGACATTTGATACTATAAATAGTTACTATGGACCA